GAGGGACCTGTCCATTCTACCCACCAATGAGAACTGTCCAGAAGTGGAACTAGTTGATCTCATCAATAGTGAGTTTCCCACTGTTGGAGATCTTCAAAGAGAGCCTAGATGACCACTGAGGGGAATGTTTCAGAGGAAGATTTTATTTTGATAGATGTCTGAGGCCCCTTCCAACTGGAGATTTGATGACTCTGTCAGAGGATGGGGACAGGGTCCCAATCTCAGATGGCATTGTATATATTGGTAACTCCCAGGTGAACAAAGTCCCCCCCAAATACAAGTCAGCAACTTTTTCATGCTCAGAGGAGTGTTCCAATCAGTTGACATTAAGTCTTCTGGTACTCATCTTGCCTTGGGACCCCTACTTTTGTTTTTTGATTAGACAATGGGGTTAAGTGACTTGTCCTAGGTCACACAGCTAGTAAGTGTTATGTGTCTGAGCCAGATTTGAACTCAGGTCCTCCTGAATCCAGGGCTGGTACTCCATCCACTGCACCATCTAGTTGCCCCCGGGACCCCTACTTTTGTTGGATGAATATTTAGTTTGAAAGGATAAGTCTGTGATTGGTCCAGAACTCTTCACCACACATCACCTTCATCACTCTCACATCCTGTCTGTTTCTTCTCCTTACTATGACATAGTCTATTAAATGCCAATGTTTGCTGTGAAGTTTTATTGCATTTAGGTAAATGGAAGACAGTGCTGGTGATGAGAAGGTCTTGAGACTCACAAGTCTTTAGCAGTAAGTGACCATTACTGTGCTGTTGCCGTTTTCAACTCCATTCCTCCCAAGAACTCCCTGCCATATCTGATAGTTTGTTCCAACTCTAGCATAAAATCACCCAGAATTATAAGCTTGTCCTCTTTTGGCACATTGATGATGAGGGTCTCCAGTCCCTCATAAAATTGTCTCTGACCTCATTAAGGTTCATCATAGTGGGAACATAGGCACTGATGATGGTGGTATGGCCCTTTCCTGCAAATGGCCATCAAATTGTCATGTGCCTGTAGTTCACTTCTTTTGGGAGGCATACAAGCTTGCTGGCTACATTAGCTTAGATTGCAAAATGTACACCGGCTTCATATTGCTCCCTTTCACTGAAGCCACTCCAGAAAAACGTATATCCAGCTCCAACTTTGGTAAGCTGGCCTTCATTTGCCAGGGCAGAAATTATCCTCCCCTAGACAGAAGCAAGATAAGGTCGTGAATTAGCTGGCGGTTGTCCTTTTTTCTCCAAAGGGACTAAAATGACATCACTATGTTGGGATCAAAGTACAGTATCCAACAGGGGCTGATTAGACCAATCTGACCTCAGAAGGTTTACTACAAGTCAGGCAAAAATAATCCATATGCTTCAGAAAAACCTGGAAAGACTTGTATGAACTGATGCTAAGTGAAGTGAGCAGAACCAGGAGAACATTGTACACAGTAACGGCCACATTGTGCGATGACTAATGTTGATAGACTTAGATCTTCTCAGCAATGCAAGGATCTAAGACATCTCCAAAAGTCTCATGATAGAAAATTCTATCCACATCCAGAGAAAGAACTATGGAGTCTGAATGCAGATGAAAGCACACTATTTTCTCTTTTTTTTTTCTTTCTCATGGTTTTCCCCTTTTCTTCTGATTCTTCTTTCACAACATGACTACTGTGGAAATTTTTTTAAAAATATGCTGATTAAATGGACATTGAGAGTGAGTTACTAGGATACAAGGAGACTTAATATTGATGATCATATTTTTTTTTTTTGCTTCAGCCTTCTGTTACATGGAGTTAGTGTTTATGTTGACATTTTCCTGGTTACTTTGGTGACAGGTAAATCTTCCTTCTCAAAATAAGTACATTTTATGCCCTCATAGTAGTTCAATCTGGAACCTGACTCAGGTAATTCTGATTATTAATTTATGAAAATCCTTATGGATTTAACTTATAGATAAGTGACCAAGGCAAGGAGTGGCTTTTCCACTCCACCATCTATCAAAAGAGAGAATTGAAGGGATTGAGGGGATTAGGACAGCAAGTGATTAGTTCTGGGAATTGAGTGAACTACACTGACTCCATCTTGGGATTCAATTCTGGAGCTAGCTCAGTTCCCTTTCTATTCAATTATGGGTCTAGTCCAAATGCTTTCTCAAGAGAAAACTTTTTTCAACTGTGGGAATTGGGAGAAAGCCTTATTGTATTATTTGAACTCAGCCCTGCATAGCTGGGAAGTGGGATGACCTCTCCCTGCTGCTTAGAGATCCTTAACTAAGGACCTAAGTTATTCTGACATGAAACCTGGTCATGTCCAAAGATTAATGCGAAGAGTTTCCCCACAATTCTACATTTCAAGCAACCTATATTCTGAAAACTGCCCCTATATTTATCAATCACTTCCTGTTTCCACATTCCATTGATTGTATAAAGACATTTGAGGGGAATGGGACACCTCTTTTTCTGAATTCAGGAAATTGCACCTGTTGACTCTTTCCCTCCCAACTCCAAAAGTTCCTAATCTTTCCTCCAATTAGAAATCGGATGTCTTGGGGCAACTAGGTAGCACAGTGGATAGAGCACCAGCCCTGGAGCCGGGAGGACCTGAGTTCAAATCCAGCCTCAGACACTTGACACTTACTAGTTGTGTGACCCTGGGCAAGTCACTTTACCCCATTGCCTAGCCAAAAAAAAAAAGGAAAAAAAAAAGAAATCAGATTTTCTAATGTTGTATTGATTCTTTTTAATTAATTAACTTAATTTGATTATTTTCCATGTATAAACATCTGTTTCCCCCTGTATTTGGGGTGGAGCTTGAAGGTGAAGAAGCCTGATCCTAGTTGACAATTGCCAGGCATTGCTTAAGACATTGATAAGTTTAGAAGACTGAGCCTTTGTCTTCTCAATCATTTCATCTTTCATCCATAACAACTAGGGAGGGATTTTGTGCAAGGATTGTTATCTTCTTTTTAATAGAGGAGGAAACTGAGATTCACAGTGGAGATATGACTCGCCCATGGGTCACACAACGGGCATTGCTGGTGGTAGGGGAGTGGGGTGGTGACAGGACTGTGGAGATGAAGGAGCTGGAATTCTGGGTGATTTTATGCTAGAGTTGGAACAAACTATCAGGCACTTGGGGTTGGTGGGGGGTTTGAGAGGAGGGGAACTGTGTCTGTTCTGCCCTGCTCACTGCTGGGAGCTCCCTCTGCCTGGGGATCATGGTTTTTGTTACTTCAACCTCTCCAAGGTTTATAGAGTGCTTTTCTTGCCCTTGAAATGAATGATGGAAGAAGGAATGGTTAGAGGTGTGGAGTTTGGATATATGAGCCTTGCCTGAAAGTACAGGAGAGGACTGAGCCTGGTCCTGTTCAGCCCCAGAGGCAGAACAAGGAGGAATCGGGGAAAGGTACAGAGGGAGCTGTCCATTCAATCTAACCATGGGAGCTGTCCAGAAGTGGAACCACTTGGTTCCATAGGGAGTGAGTTTCTCATTGTTGGAGGTCTTCAAAGGGAGGCTGGTGACCATTTGGGGGAGTGTTTCAGAAGATTTTATTTAGATTTATGAGGTCCCTTCCAAGTGGAGATTTGATGATTCTGCCAGAGGATAGAGACAGGGACCGATCTCCAGTGACACTGTATGGATAAAGAACACCCAGATGACCAAAGTCCCCCCCAAAAATACAAGTCAGCATCTTCTCTGAAATTAGTGTCTTAGAGCAGAGCTCCTCCGACTGGTTTGTGTCATTGACCCCTTGAGCAGTTTGGCAAAGCCCTTCTGGGAAAAATATTTTGTTTCAATTAGTAGAAAGAAATAGTACATTTCAGTTAGAGTGCAGGGAAAAGAAAGATTCAATTTCTTTTTTCCTTTCCAAGTTCACAAATCCCTTGTAATCTATCCGTGGTCCCCAGGGAGATCTGTGAACCCCAGGTTAAGAACCCCTATCTTAGAGAGTGACCTCAAGCACCGAGAAGTTGGGTGACTTGGGAGGTGGATTTGAACCCAGCTCTCCTTGACTTGGAGGGAGTGGATCTCTGTCCACTACAATGCCCTACTTTTAATTCTACTAGGATCTCAATTTACAAATGAGCAAACTGTGGATCAGAGAATTGAAGTTATTTGCAGCTTTTGGTCCTGGCCTTCAGGTCCCCCTCATGAGAGAAACAAGAGGCAGGGGTGAAAGAGCAGGGAAGGTGGGCAAAGTAAGATTTCTTCTTTTTCTTCAGGGAGCTCATGCTCCCTCATCCTCTTCCTCAACCATTCCTCTTTGGCTTAACGGAATCACAGGGGTCTGTAACATCTGACCTTGTACCTTTTTTTCATTGGGCCCCATTGTCAGGGGAAGGGGCTGAGGGTGTCCAAGGGGAGGGTGTGTCACAGACTTCCTGGGGCACCTATCCTGGGAGCTAGTGGAAAAAGCACCATACTTGGGGTCAGAGGGCCTTGGTCAGAGGTTCCTGGCTCAGTTCCTCTTCCCCCAAGTGACCCCAGGGATTCAGTTTCCACATTTGTTAAGAAAGCAGATGGTTTCTTAGGTCACTCCATGGTTTACCATACTCGGATTAGGATTTTCCCCTTCAGATGAACTCTTTGGAGGCCAAGGGGCTTACTCTGACCCGGACCAGAGCGTGGCCTTCCCTCCAGAGTATACCCCCAGGCCCTTCCAGCCAATATCAGATTCCTGTTCATTCTGAAACTAGTTTTCCATTGGCTCTCCCAATCTCTCTACCGCTCTCCCCAACCTCATCCCATAAAGGACAGTTTTGGGGGTTTGGATGTGGGGGGGAAGGGTAGAAAAGGATGGAGCTTGATGTGGAGGAGGTGTGGCCAAAGGAGTGTCACCACCTTGATTGGCTGACCTTCCAAGAAAGGCTTCAAAAATTCCGCTGGCTCCTCCCCTTTTGTACTCCAACTCGGTGAAAAGTTCGAGGGGGCGGGGCTAGGTTGGACTCCACAGAAGCCCAGAGCCTGACCCTCTATTTGAAGGGTCCGACGCGTCCCTGACCCATCATCTCTGGAAGTCATCCTTCGGGGACCCAGCGCAGCCAGGAGAATCGCGGGAGCGTTTCTCACCCTCCGTTATGTCCCAAGTGAGTGTGCCAGGGTATAGGCTGCGGAGATCCTCGTCCAGGTTATAGGCTGAGGGTCCGAGGGTGGGGGATCCTCTGGGATTGGTGCTTGCAGATTATCCCGGAGACTCGAGAAGGGTGTTTCCGAGCGGGTGGAGACGCTCTCCCTTTCCTCTCCAGATGGGCTGGGGCGCCTTTCTCTTCTCCTCTTTCCCTTCACCCTGATCTTCGCAGCCCTTGCAAGGGCTGCCCCTCCCATCCCACCCTTACCTTGAAGCTGTCGGTTCTAACTGGTTGCTGATCTGACGTCTTTGACAAGATGGTAAGTACAGACAGATCTCGGGAAGAGGGGAGAGGGAGAGTAAGGGGGGAAGTAGGACTTAGCACGGCTTAGAGTTACAATGTCCCAGGATTGTGAGGGGCTCCATCTACATGGGTGTGGTGTGGGGGGGGGGGGTTAGACATGGAGGAATCCCCTTCCTGGAATTGAGAAGGAAGGAAAAAGGAGGAGATGGGCAGAAATGAATCTTGTGTCAGGATCAGACTTTCTGGAATGAAAGGCTGTCTTACGGAGGTAACTGCAATCCAGCCTGATTGTATGGAAAGAGTTCAGGCTGAGGAGGCTCCACTGGAAAAGGAGGAGGCTGGAGATGGCCGACAGGGTGGGACAGGAGACAAGCGATTCCTCAGGTCCTTCCAAATTCTAGCCCCGCACCCTTTAAAAACTGGACCAAATTAGCCTCACAAATACTCTCCTTGCCTCTTCTCTAGGAAGCCAGTTCATAAGATTACCCTTCTCCTCCCAAGCCCACCCCTCCATGACTTCTCCGTTGATTTAGAACAGGAAGGGACTCTACATCTGTGCTGCCCAGATTCCCTTAACCTTCTCCCGAGAGAATAAGGGACAGGACGAGCTCAGTTCCTTAACCTTAATGTTTCTGCCAAGGTCACCCTTGATTCCCCATTTTTCTGAACTTCCCCCTCCCTCGCCAACTCGCCTTCTCCTGGGCATGGCTGCCTCCTGCCCTGGATTGGTACCAGGACCTGACTCTGGAGAATGGGGGAAGTTTTTCCCGAAAACTTTCCTGGGGAGGATTTCCTTCCCTGCTAAGTCAACTGAGGGCAGCTCTGGGAGCGTGAGGAGGAGGGCAGGACAATGGCTGGGGAGTGTGGAGGAGGCAAGGTAAGGCTTACCTAGGTACCAGGAAATTTTCCGATTGAACTATATTCTATCTCCTACCCTTGGGGTAGAGCCAGACTCCCTCCTTCCTCCTTCATCTATGCCCAAGTGCCAAGATACGTGTGATGCTAACCAAAGATAGTGGTGAGATAGTCAGTGTGACAGAGAGAGCATGGAACTGGGACCCAAGAAAAACTGGGATTCCAGTTCTGATCATGTTGCTCACTTGTGGGACCTGGGACAGGTCCCTTCTTGCTTCTTTGAGCCTCAGTTTCCTGATCTATAAAATGAGGAGTAGACTGGATCATCTAGGCTAGTTCTTCATTTAACAGATAGGGAAACTGAGGCCCACGGACAGGAAAGATCTTCCCCAAGGTCACAGAGCTGGTACGCACCCTCACTTCAGCTCTAACTAGCCTGGAAGAGTGTCTGATATCCTAGAACCTTCCTGGAGGTTGGCCCCACTCTAACTGGAAGCTCTGGGTCCCCTCAACTCCTAGCCAGCCCTAACTTTATTCTACTTGGTCTCTTCAGGACATTCACTTTGAGGGGTTGAGCCTCCAACCTGGAGTTCGAGTGAAAGTAAAAGGATTCATACGGGCTGCTGCTAAGCTGTAAGTGAGAGATGGGAAGGATGAGACAAAATTTGACCATGGGTGAGAGCTGAGTCCTGTACACACCTACTTGCACTTGACCCTTGATTAGAAGCACCCAGTTGGTTTTGCCTCAGCCCCAGATGGCAGGGACAGGAGTGGGCATAAGGAAAAACTTCCTAACAGGAGCCTCCCAGTAGCTGGAATGGACAGTTTGGATAGGTAGTGAGCTCCCTGTCTCTGGAGGTAGTAAAGTATGTACCATGGTCACTTGTTAAACAAGGTGGGGGTAGGAGGGGTAATGCAGAAGAGAAATCATGGTTCTTCAGGTCAGGATATGATGAGAGTCCCTTTGGGGTGTCTTCTCATCTGGCACTCTTACAGAGGGGCTTTCCCTCTGAGACCCTTGCCAATGATGGAGATGTGTTCTCGATTCCCAGATTTAGAATTAACCTGGGCAAGGACAACCTTAACATTGGCCTGCACTTCAACCCACGCTTTGACTTTTTCGGTGATCACAATGTCATTGTCTGCAACTCATTGAAGAACGGCAACTGGGGTCCAGAGCAAAGGGAATACAAGTTTCCCTTTGAGGATATGCGAACGGTGGAGGTAAGAGCAGAGAATCAGAGCATAAAATATTAGAGCTGGGAAGGACCCAAGAGATGAACTCATCCCCCCCTTGAATTTGACAGAAGAGCCCTGGGAGCAAACTCTGATGGGGATAAAATGAAAGAGTAAAAGTAAAGGGATTCATACAGGCTGCTGCTAAGCTGTAAGTGAGAGATGGGAAGGATGAGACAATGGGTGAGAGCTGAGTCCTATACACACCTACTTGCATTTGACCCTTGATTAGAAGCACCCAGCTGGTTTTGCCTCAGCCCCAGATGGCAGGGCCAGGACTGGGCATAAGGAAAAACTTCCTAACAGGAGTCTCCCAGTAGCTGGAATGGACAGTTTGGATAGGTAGTGAGCTCCCTGTCTCTGGAGGTAGGAAAGTATGTACCGTGGTCCCTTGTTAAACAAGGTGGGGGTAGGAGGGGTAATGCAGAAGAGATGCTAGAGGAGAAAGGGGTCAGTGGGAGTCCAAAAGTCAATGGCAAGAATCCCAGCATCCCCAGAGCTGGAGTGGCGGATGGGGAAAGGGAAGGAGCTGTGGACGGCTGTGGTCACAATAGGATAACACGACTCTTGCTTGTCCCAGGACACATAGTAGGACCCAAGATTTAGAGCTGGAGAGAACCTCGGGGACAACTACTCTGACCCCCTCATTTTACAGAATAGGAAACTGAGGCTCAGAATGAAGAAATGCTTTGCCCAGGGTCACACAGTGTCTTTGCAGTAAATGTCTTGAGGAGGAATTTGAACCCGGATCTTCCTGTCTTCAAGTCCAGGGTTCTGGGTTCAGCTCCTTCTGCCCTCTCCCCCTTCAGGTAAACTTTGTCTTTGAAGAGAAGCAGTTTAGAGTGACACTGCCTGATGGCTTCGAGTTCACTTTCCCCAATCGCCTTGAATTAGAAACAATAGACTTCCTGTCGGTTCATGGTGACTTCTATGTCAGAAGGGTGGACTTCGAATGAGTGCTCCAGTCAAGCCAACTTTAGACCATTCTTGCCTCTTGGGGCCCTGTCTTTACTAATAAAAGTCCTGATGATGATAACAGCTGACATTGTTTTTGTTTTTGTTTTGTTTTGTTTTTGACTAGGCAATGGGGTTAAGTGACTTGCCCAGGGTCCCACAGCTAGTAAGTGTTAATGTGTCTGAGGCCGGAGTTGAACTCAGGTCCTCCTGAATCCAGGGCCAGTGCTCTATCCACTGTGCCACCCAGCTGCCCCTGGCATAGTTTTTGTTATTATGGTCTGGGAGATAGAGGACTGGGTTTGAAGTTGGGAAAAATGGCTAAGTGACCCTGGACAAGCCCCTTTACCTCAAAGGTCCTTTGGTGACTCTCTAGGACAGGGGTTCTCCACCTAGTGTCCATAGATAATTTTCAGATGGGAAAAAAATGCCATCTTTATTCTCATTAATTTCTGGTTTTCCTAGAGATGCAATCTTAATAAAGCTGCCACCAGCCCCAATATTCCGATTTCCTTATGAAATCCCCTGAACAACAGGCATATCCTGATTTAACCACACAATCTGGCTTTAACCACATCACAGCCCCCCAGGCACAATACAGCCACTGTCCCTAGCTAGCTTCTGTCCCCAGCTCCAATTCACATATCTGAACCCGTGTGCCCTTGTACTCAACCACAATCACATCATCCATTTTAGCCCAAGACGGGACCACAACACCTAACTCGCCATCTTGACCAGACAGGACCACAATAGCTGGCCAATCAGAAAGCAGCACGACTAGGATGTTTGACCATAGAACCATAGAAGGGACCCCTCTCCATTACCTGATCCCCTAACAAATCCCTCCTGATGCCTTTTTAATATTCATAATTTCTGTTGTGTAATCAGCATCATTACACTATAAATTTGCCTGTGTTGTCTTACTAAGTTACTAGCCGGATTCCAAGCAGCATCAATCCTCAATAAATGCCTGTACTTGGATTAGAGGAGGTCTGACTCTGAATTCTCTGAGGCAATGCCACCACAGCACACCATGGAACCTCAATGCTAGTATTATTTTGCATTTTTAATATAGTTATAACATTATTCTACTCAATACCATATTACTTGCTTTTTAATTGTATAGGAGAAGGGTCTGAGGGAGGAAGAAAATTTGAAGTTAAAGATGACAAAAAAATCTTAAAAATAAATTTAAAAAATAAAACATTCAAAAATGAAAAAAACAACAACAAAAACCCCACATTATTCTGAGAATAACACAAAAGGTGACAAGCACTTAGAAGCCACAACAATCCCTGATTAGCAATGGGGAAGGGATTTTCCACAGTAGTAACTGCAGGGGAACCTCTGAATATTAGTGAAGACAGGGGACCAGAGCACAGACAATGGGCAAGCCCAGCTGCTGGAAAGATGCTGAATATAAGCCAGGAAAGCACTGTGTCCCTTTGAGGAGCAGCCTAAGGAAGCTCAGTCAAAGCTTCCCTGACACAGTCAGAGGTATTGGGTTTGAATTTGACCTCTGATCTTCACTGCCTAGGTGACCTTGGAGAAGTCCCTGGGTCTCAGTTTCCTCAGGGGTAAAATGAAGAGCTTGGCCTCCAAGGTCCTTCCACCTCTCTAAACCTATGCTCCTACAGGCCCAAGTCATTCCCCCTGCCTCAGTTTCCTCCTCTGTAAAGTGAAGAAGTCAGACCACACGGCCTCTGGGGTCCCTTCTGTGAGCCTTTGATCTCTCCTCTCTTCCTCTGAAGTATAGTAAATTCCAGTGTTTGCTCCCACCAGACAAGGGAGAAAGCAGGAGATCAGCTCTCAAACATCTTGTATGTTTAACTGGTTCTGGCTCAGTACCCAGATTTGTATCACCATAGAATGAGCCCACAGACAATGGACAATACTGTATGTCCTCTGAAATAGAGGCCAGGGCCTCCACAGTGCATGCTCAGAAATAGGCTTACCACTCCTGGGTCTGGGCCTGGCCCTAGGGCTGGTTGGCTGGAAGAGTCCCACTCACCACGTCCACACTCCCCAGAGCAGAAGGGGGGGGTCAGTCCACAAACATTTGGGGATCACTCACTCTCTGCCAAATGAAAGAGAGAGGAATGAGATACAACCCCCAGTCCTGGGTGGAAAGAGCCTCTGGGTGCCTGGAGATGCAAAGATGAAAGCCAGGTTCCAGCGCAGACTCTGCTGGGAATTGGCTGTGTGGCTGAGGGCAGGCCTTAGTACCTCTCTGAGCCTGGTTTTTGTAACCTCTGTGCAAAGTTTATGGAGAGCTTCTCTTTCCCTTGAGATAGATGGTGGGAGAAGGAATAGCTAGGGGTATAGGGCTTGGGTACCTGAACTTTGCCTGCAAGTACAAGGAGAGGACTGAGCCTGATCCCGCTCAGCCCCAGAGGCAGAACCAGGAGGTATTGGGGAAAGGTACAGAGGGAGCTGTCCTCTCAGTCCAACAATGAGAGCTGTCCAGAAGTGGAACCACTTGATGTCAAAGGGAACCTAGTGACTATTTGGGAGGAATGTTTCAGAGGAAGGTCTTATTTCAATAGATGTCTGAGAGCCCTTCCAAGTGGAGATCTGATGATTCAGTTAGAGGATAGGGACAGGACCTGATCTCTGATGACACTTTCTTTATAGGGAACTCCCAGGTGACCAAAGTCCCCTCCAAATACAAGTCAGCACCTTCTTGGAAACTTAAGAGTCTTAGAGCAGATGTCCTTTGACTGGTTTGAGTCATTGAAGGGTTAATGTATAAGAACAGGACTCCCCCAGCCAGATATTCAGGAGTTGGTGCTTCCTCGGATTGGTGGTGTATTTCTTCTTTATCTCTCTATCTTTCTGTTAATAGTCTTTGCTTCTAAGATTGTATAATCATATGTAATCACATTTACGTGCATGTATGTTTATGATTATTATCATTATTAAATCATTTACAAGCTTGGAAGAGTGTGAATGTGTCTTTGTGGGTACAGATCCTGTGAAACAGATTATAAGTGATGCAGCCCATAACACCTTACTGTTACAGTCATTGACCCTCTGGGCAGTCTTGTGGAGCCCTTCTGAGAGAAAATTTTTTTTAAATAGTAGAAAGGAATAGTACATTTTATTTAAAGTTCAGGGAAAATAAAAATGTAATTTCTTTTTTCCTCTCCAAGTTCACAAAGCCCTTGTAATCTATCCATGGACCCCAGGTTAAGACCCCCTAACTTAGAGAGTGACTTCAAGCACTGAAAAGTTAGGTGACTTGGGAGGTGGGATTTGAACCCAGGTCTCTGTGACTTTGAGGGAGTGCATCTCTATCCACTATGATGCCCTGCTTTTAATTCTATTGTTTAATTCTATTTAATTCTATCCCAATTTATAGATGAGCAAACTGAGGATCAGAGAATTGAAGTGACTTGCAGCTCTAGGTCCTGGTCTTCAGGTTTTCCTCAGGAGAGGAACAAGAGGCAGGGGTGAAAGAGTAGGCAAGATGGGAGCTCATGCCCCCTCATCCCCTCCCTCAACTGTTCCACTTTGGCTCCATTGAATCACAGGGCTCTCTAAACTGACCTTGTACCTCTGTTTCATTGGGTCCCATTGTCAGGGGAAGGATCTATGGGTGTCTAAGGGGAAGCTGTGTCACAGGTTTCTCTGGGACCCTTCACATGGATCCCACTCTACTGGGGTCCTTAGCACTCCCTTCCTTGAGCTGACATGATAGGGCTTTCTGAGGCACCTCAGCCTGCCTCCCTCCAGCCTCATGATCCAGACAGGGCAGAGAGTGCTTTCTGACAGCAGGTCAGAAAGTCACAAGCTCAGCTTCAGGCACCTTGCCAGACTTTCTCTCCTTAAAAATAAACACATGGAAGACCTCCATGGGGGTTCAGTAAGGGTGGAGACACCCACTGACCCCAGGGGAGATGACCAAAGACATTGGAGAAACTCATTGACACCTCAACCCAAATGGAGCCCAAGCTGATTCCATCTCCTCCTTCCACCCACCTCATTCTTCAGCAAACCATCTCAAACTCAGGTGACCTTGGGTAATGGTTGCTTGATTGTGTGATTCAATGGAAAGAGCTCTGGGCTTGGGGTTAGAGGACCTCTGTCCAAGTACTGGCTCAGCTCCTCACTGCCCAAGTGACCTCAGGTCTTAGTTTCCCCATTGGTTAAGAAACCAGATGGTTTCTTTGTTCCCTTCAAACTATGATATGGTCTGATTAGGATTTTCCCCCTTCGGATGGACACTTGGGAGGCCAGACAAGAGTACAGCCTCCCCTACAGCTCCCTTCCAGACAATATCAGATTCCAGTTCGTTTTAAACGAAGTTTTCCATTGGCTCTTACAATCTCTCTACCACGCTCCCCAATCCCATCTCCCAGAGGACAGTTTTGGGGGTTTGGATGTGAGGGGAGACTGAAAAAAAAGGATGGAGCTTGATGTGGAGGGGCTGAGACCAAAGGTTTGCCTCCACATTGATTGGCTGAACTTCTAAGAAAGCCTTCAAAAATTCTGAAGGCCCCGCCCCTGAGATGAGGCCTGTTATGCTCAGTATTGGCAAAAAGTGCCAGAGGGCGGGGTGGTGGGGCGGGGAATGGGGCATTTGGGAGGGTAAGGGGAGGACTCAGCTGAAGCCTGTAATTACCATCTCTGGGGTGGAGTTGGACTTTGTCCTTTGGCACCCAGCGCTGCCAGGAGAACTGCTAGACCATTTCTCATCCTCCGTCATGGCCAGCATGAGTGCGCCAGGGTATAGGCTGAGGGTCCAGAGGCGGGGGGTCCTTTGGGACTGGGGCTTGAAGAGAATCGGGGGGACTTAAGAAGGGCACTTTTGGGAGAGGATTGGGATGCTCTACCCTTCCGTTCTGTATGGGTTGGGGTTCCTTTCTCTGTCCTTCTCTATCCCCCACCATGATCTTGCAAAGGCTGCCCCTCCCAGCCCTCCCTGCACTCCCCCAGCCCTAGCAACTGTCCGATATCCCTGGCTACTGATCCCAAAGTGTTTAACTAGCTGGTAAGTCCAGAGAGATCCTGGGGAGAGGGGAGCAAGGGGGAAGTGGGACTTGGCATGAATTGAGGATGGGGGGTCACCTGGCCCCG